GATTAGATCTCTGCAGTACTCTGTTACATTCTTTCTTTCAAATGCTGTAATAAAACAAATATGGTAGCAGGTAACTGGGATTTAGAAATGAGGGCAAGGATAGGCTATCTTAAGTGGTTAAACTGGTTTAAAGCTGGTTATCAATGTGAGCCACCCTAAACACTGATTTTTAAATGTATTCTGAATGAAGACTAGGCTATTCCTCAAGTCTCTGTCACTAGACCAAGTTATGGTCTCTACATTGTGCGGTTTACAGTGATATTAAAAAAAAAAAAATAGTTATCAGAAGCCCTGCCATATACTCTAGATGTGTCTGCTAGATGTGATTAAGTTACTAAGAGGTGTGCTGTATAGGAGACCCTGTCTAGTTATAGGCTCCTGTGCGCTCTGATTTAGCAACAAGAATGTCCTCAACTGATACCCCGATTATTAACACACCAGTACCCTGATTTATATATAACACTCTTGTTATTTTATAAGATGGTTTAATAAACTCATAAATTTCTCTGCAAAGTTAAAAATGTAGTGGCTTCCACCTAACAAGGCATCAGAACTCAGTAAGGTCTTACCATGAGGTACTGGCTGGTCCAGATCTTCAAATACAACACACAGATGACAAAAAGTTAAAATACAGTGCCAAAATGATGCAGGCAAATCCCAAAATTGGGACTCAGCCCAGGAGGGTTCCCAGTTTCATGCAAGAAAGAATCTGAGAGCAAGCCAACAGAGTAAAGTGAAAGCACAGCAAGTTTATTAGCAATAGAGTATAGAAAATGGCGGCTCCACAGACAAAGTAGGGTTACCCCAAAGGCAGAGTGGCACTGTAGATTGCTCACAAGCGATATTTACAGCTACTCCTTAGTTACATGCTAAATAAGGGGAATATCATTTGTGAATCTTCTAGAAAAGGGTACGGAGTTCCTAGAACCATGTAACTTTCGGGCATTGTCACGGCATTTGTAAACTGTCATGGTGCTAGTGGGAGTGTCTTACAGCATGCAAATACATTATAGTTTCTAGTTCTAACTGGTTTGGGCCAGTTTCTTTGCTACATCTTGTTTGACCAGATTCTGTTTTGATCAGCAGGGTTGTGATCAATGCTCAGAAAACAAGTCCTGCTGATCTACCTTTAAAAGAATGTTAAGTAAATCTCCTATGACTAATTAGCCATTAACTGGATCAAAAATGATTCTCTATAATCTCTCTTTTGCACTAAATTTTCTTCTCAATTAGTGACTATAAAGTATTAGAGATTATCACATGGTTAGTGTTTTCTTACAGAATAGCATTTCTATTCAGAAGAATTCAAATATTTTCCTTCATTTCTTAAAAATTTCACATCCTCCGTATAGCAATATAAAATGTGTGCATATACGTAAGACTTTTCCTTTTATTCACCTTTATTTCAAAACTTCATGTTGATACTTTTAATTCTGGAAAATCTGAGTCACACTTTAATCTTTTAAATCCATTTGGAAGTCTAATACTTCTCTCATGTCCCAGCTGTATATACAGTTGTATGTGTGCCACATAATATTTTGGTCAGTGATGGACCACGTACATGCCAGTGGTCCCAAGAGATTATAATACCATATTTTTACTGTACTTACTCTATGTTTAGATACACAAATACTTAGCAATGTGTTACAGTTGTCTGCAGTATGCAGTACAGTAACACGCTGTACAGATTGGTAGCCTAGGATCAATAGGCTATACCATATAACCTAGGAGACTATACCATCTAGGTCTATGTAACTACACTTTGATGTTTGCACAATGACAAAATCACCTAGTGATGCATTTCTCAGAACATATCTCCGTCACTAGGCAATATATGACTGTATTAGCCTATAAAGGTTTACAAAACAACAAACTCACCACTGTCTTTACAGCAGTTATCACACATTTTGTTACATGCTTCCGAGTTCCATACTTCATCAAAATGTTGAGCCATCAACACACGACGACATCTGCAAACACATTTAAAGATACAGATTATTAGAGGATATAATAAAGTTTTAAGAATCTCTTTCAGATTACACCATTATATACCGTATTCGCTTCCTATAACTTCCTTAATACTACCATAAACTTAGTGGCTTTAAACAACACAAATTTATTCTTAACATTTCTGTAGTTTAGATTTAGAAGTGTACTATGGGCCGGGCGCGGTGGCTCACGCCTGTAATCCCAGCACTTTGGGAGGCCGAGGCGGGCGGATCATGAGGTCAGGAGGTCGAGGCCATCCCGGCTAACACGGTGAAACCCTGTCTCTACTAAAAATGCAAAAAATTAGCTGGGCGTGGCAGCAGGCGCCTGTAGTCCCAGCTACTCGGGAGGCTGAGGCAGGAGAATGGCGTGAACCCGGGAGGCGGAGCTTGCAGTGAGCCCAGATCACGCCACTGCCCTCCAGCCTGGGCGACTGAGCGAAACTCTGTCTCAAAAAAAAGAGGTGTAGTATGGGTTTCACTGGATCAAAATCAGGGTGTCAGGTTCTTCTCACATCATACAATCTAAAATAATCTCCCCATTTTAAGGTTAGCCAATGAGTCTTAATTCCATGTGCAACTCTTAATTTCCTTTTGCCATGTGAGGTAACATACAGGTTAGGAATTAGGACATGAACATCTCTGGGGCACATTGTGCCCCCGACATAGGATTTTTTTCCCCACATATTCTTGATAAACACTGTTTAAAAAATTGTCTGAGTTCCATTTTTAAATTCAATGTTTTACAACTATTAGGAGAATATTCTTGACAGTAAAATAGTTTCTTACATTTTTAAGTAGCAATATTTGAGTCGAAGCCTTAAAATGTGCTTCATGAGAATCTACTGGGCTTTTAAAGACATTTTCATTTTCTCATTTCTTTTAACTAGATTATTGTAGCATCTATTGGAAAGAAAGAACATTTCTATCACTGTCTGTCTGCTATTTACCACCTCGACATTTCTGAGCACTTTTTATGTGATAGGCAATAAGAGCACAAAGATAACTATGAAAAAAAGCTTTCAGGAAACTATATAGTCTAATGAAAGCCACCCTAAGTAGATTTAAACTTACTTCTTAAGGAGAAACTTGGTATTTCATTGACACATGAGCTAGCAGGATGGCACATGTTACTGAGCCTGACTCTCAAAATGCCTATCTTAACCATAGACCTTTTCAAAATTATTAAAGCATGTAACTGTACACCAGTGCCAGAGAAAAAAAAAGGCTTCAACTGCTATCAGTGGTCTCAAAAACCTTCAATTAAAAAAGTAGTTTTGGAGGATTCTCTCAAAGATAGGGCATCTTTTCTTGATGCCCTACCTACCCTCCAACATCTGCTTTTATAGATCTGTACTTTGGTGTTACACCAATGTATTTAGTAAGAACTTAAAAATGATGTCATATACTTTCATATTTAATTGATAAAAGTTATAAAAAGGTATGTGGCTTACTTGCTTATGTTTTGACAGTATGATACCATCTCATAAAGCTTCTGCTGTCCCACATTTTCCATCACCACCATTGAACTTATTCTGAATATATCTCCAAAGCCATAGTACAAAATGCAGTCTGCTTTCATGTCATCTCGACCTGTGGTGTAAGAAACCTTGAGATTGCAGAAACCTTGAGATTGCGGAATTACATTTAAAAATTCAAAATATGCAAAAATGATATATGTAAAATTAGCAGGCAATGTTTTATACTACATCTAGAAATTTTAGAGATGTGGAAGTTAATTTGTAATGGGTACCCTCAAATTAAAAAAAACTCTAAAGAGACATCAATAATCAGCTCTACTAAGTTAAAAAAATGTGTCTATAATCCAGTTAAGTTACAGATTTGAAATCACTAATTAAAAATTCAAGAGGCAAAGATGAACATCAAATTATCTTAACATACATAAGAAGAAACAATTCAGATAACAACAGAAGTAAAAATTTCTCCATATGCAAGTGTCAGACTGCTAAAAATACATTGTTCTAAAAATACTATCCAATAAAGATAAAATATACAGACTTATTAAACACTTATAATGTGTTTTTGGGAAAAGCTTTCTAAAAATTTACTTCTGGATTTGAGTCCTACATACCTGCACGTCCACTCTCTTGGTAATAATTTTCCATGGATTTACTCATTGAATGATGGATGACAAACCTCACATCTGGCTTATCAATTCCCATACCAAATGCAACAGTTGCCACTACTACCTGAAATATTTTAACATTTTATCAGTTAATTAAATCAAGTTTAAATATTTTAAATGTAAATTAGGCTTCCATGGAAGATTTATACCTAACCTGAATTTCATTGGCTGACCATTTTCTATGAACTGTAGTCTTATCTTCTGGCTCCAAATTGGCATGGTAAGCACCTGCATGAATTCCCAGATTCTGCAAACTAACCGTAACTTGTTCAGAGTCTTTCTGAGAAAAACAATATATGATTCCTGCAGTAAAATATGTGCATTTGTTAGACAGATATGGTATATTCCTGGAAGATAATTTTCAACACACACATTCGGGACACTGATTAATACAATGCACAGAAGGAAAAAAAGAATTATGAAAAATTTCAAGGCCTTGTGCATATATTGACATTTTGGTATAATTCCAGACTTGAGCACCAGCTTGCTTTAAAGCAGAAATGAGCCTGAGCCATCAGTTTTCATTCCCGTTATTTTTCTTTCTTTATTTCCCACTACACAGTATTTCTCAAACTGATGTCTGTAAGATGCTAACAAATGTGCTATGAGTGTTCTCCAGATTAATTTTGGGTTAATTTAGATTAATTTGCATGCAAATTAATTTGGAGAACATTGCATTCAACAAAGTTAAATGGGTGTCTCTCTTTATTTTCAGGGATGGTCAGAGCTTCTAGTTTGCTGATATACCCTGTGAATGTCCAGGCAGAATAAATATCTACAACCTTTCTCAAATTTATTTGACCCTAGAACTCCTTTTAACCAGGACACCCATTACTGCCTCCTGGAAATCCATAGAACAGTTTAAAATGCTACTTTTACACAAATTCCTGGCTTCGGTAACATTTGTTTAGTCATTAAACCCAGAAAACCATGTATGTATGGTTTGCTGGTTATATGGTGGCTTTAAACAACACAAATTTATTCTTAACATTTCTGTAGTTTAGATTTAGAAGTGTACTGTGGGTTTCACTGGATCAAAATCACGGTGTCTGGTTCTTCTCACATCACACAATCTAAAATAATCTCCTGATTTTAAGGTCAGCTAATGAACAGTCTCAATTCCATATGCAACTCTTAATTTCCTTTTGCCATGTGAGGTAACATACAGGTTAGGAATTAGGACATGAACATCTTTGTTCATGTCCTAATCTATTCAGTATGTACTACTGGATTTACTTATTGCTTTAATGTGTCCTTTACTATAAGAGAGTATATTTTCTATCCCTTTAGAACATCAGTTGCTTAAGCCACTATTTTGTACTCAGTGGATACGTACTAAATATGTGCTGTTGATAATTCACATTAAGTCATCAGGTCTATTCTAAAGCAAGTGTAAATAAGCAAAAATAGATCAGGCAATTTGATGACTCATAATCTATGGCATAAGCAAATGTCACACCCAACTTCTAAGATCAAGTGAATTAATTTTATCACACATTTTCAAGTATCTTCTGCTACACATTAATTTTTTTGGTGTTATTCAGTTATCAATATAATTCTCAATATAATATGAAGCCACTTTTTGAAAGTTATCTCTGTCTCCAAAGTTGGTTTTTACATTACCTGATTGCCCTTTGTATCTCCCATTAATGAGCTTTACAATATCCTCAATAAAATCTTCAGTATTTGAGGGCTTCTGCCGAACCTAAAAAAAACGTAACTTATTAAAAAGTAAATGAATGAGTACCATCCAAGTGGCTGTCTACTCACAACTTTCAGGATGCAGTTCTTTCATGACCATAGTGTTTTTCTATTACTCTTTCACTTACTCATAGGATTCAACCCATCTGACTCATCTGTTCCTCCTTCCAGACTCTTCTTGATCTTTATTTTTTTAATTTACCAGAGAAGAGCAAGCACAGGAACAGTGACTAACTTGTAAGGATGAAGACTTTTTTATTTTGTGATGCTACTTTTATAAAAGCAAACCGTAACATAAATAACTCTTGAATGAAAACTCAGAAAAGTATTAAATCTATTCTTAAAAGGGTTTAGAAAGAAAGAAAAGACAGCTGTTAGGTTATTTTTCAAGTTTATCAAGTCAAATCTAAATAGAATTGGCAAATCTTTAATGGCATATTAATACTTCTATTAATTAGTCATTAATTTGAACAGAGATGTAATTAGGGTCCTTAGTATCACTCCATCCTTTCTCCCCATCTTTACACAAAAAAGAACATACAGAAATTTAACAAAGATATATAACTTACTCATATATTTTATAAAAAGTGTCACCTAGCAAGAGTGTCTTCCGTTTAATTTAACAAAGGATTATGTAGCAAAAGATACATGAATGAAGCCCTAATTACAGAATCTACTTATAATTACCTCCTAATGTTAAAAGTTTTTGTAAAGTATTTAACTGCTGCTCATGTAAACAAACATAATAAAAAGGTAGATCCTCTCTGTGTAATTCTTCACAAAAGTAATGAATGGACATAAAAATTACATACCTCATAATATAGATTTGGCCTATTAAAAGAAGCTGTAAAAGTAAAACACTTTTCAACGCACAAAATTTTCTGAGCATCCGTCAAAACGTGATTGGTTGCAGTCGCAGTCAGCCCAATTAGTGATGCGTTAGGGAACTGCCGCTTTAAGATACCAAGCGCCTTATAATCTGAAAAAACAAATAAAGTAGCCCTTTTTCTATCCTTTAAGAGTTAGAGTAAACTATACCTTTTAACATCATGCAGATAATCGATGACTACTATGATTTTATCTCCACAGCCATCTATAGCAGTAAATTTGCAGTTCTGTGTTAGCCTTTTTGATGTGCAGGCTTTATTATATTTATTCCAGATATTATTCTTGGTCACAGTGGACTCAAGAGACAGTGGGTATAGCCACAGTGTTTTAATTTATTACAACTAACAAAAGATAAAACCGGCCATCAGACGAACCCCTGCTACCACCTAGTGTCATCAGACCAAATAAAGCTTGGTAAGGGCAGCACTGCTTTGTATATAACCTACTTCTGGGAAACCATTCTAGGCTCAAACTTGTTATATGCATCTAAATCCCTAGATAGATTGTCCTTAATCTCCCTTAAGAACTTGAACTATTTGGGGGAAAGTGAAAAAAAATGTGGTAGAAATTGCTTATATGCTAAGTAGAGGACTACTATGAAAACACAGAGGACAGAACAGCTGCTTGGGAAGTGAAGATTTCAAGGAGATAATACTTGAGTTATGTCTTAAGAGAATGAGCAGAAGTTCACTAGGAAGAGACGAACATCACGCAGCGGAAACAGCATACACACTGCAAATACACTGGCATGAAATTAGTATGTTCAGACAACAGCAAGCAGTTCACTGGGGCTGTCACAGAGTCTTGTGGTGGATGGATTTATTGTCCAATCCATTAAGCTGGAAATTACATTTCCCAGAATCTCTTTCCTGTTCCAAGTTAGAGCTGACCCAAAAGAGGAACTTGTGCAAGATTTGGTGGCAGAAGTGAACCAGCTAACATTGCTCCTTCAAAGTCTTTACAAGCAGAGAGGATGATGGACAGATCTAGAAGTGCTCAGCCAGTTCTAGGTCATCCTAGTTCTTTTCCAGTCCTCATTCAGCTGTTCCTCCCAACTACAGGTCTTGCCAGTCAACAGCAGACCCACAGAGGCGATAGCTACTCACAGGAAGTAGCTTACCAGAGACCCTTCCACGACCTTCCCTTTAGGGGTCCTCTTTGCCACTGTACATGCCAGCTGCAGATTTCCCTACAGGCTCTGCCTCGTCCTCCTGCACCAGTGCTTAGGCATCAATCCGTTACTTTTCTCTAATCCTCCAACTCCCCTCTTCAGACCTTCACTTCCCCAGTTCCTCCCACAATTGTTCAAGATCGACTTCCTACAGTAAAACCGCTATCCCGTAACATTCATCGTGACTCTGCTTCCCTGCCTGAACCCTGACTGACACTGTTATGTAGAAGGCAGGTGAGGAGGCCGAGGCGGGCAGATCACGAGGTCAGGAGATCGAGACCATCCTGGCTAACATGGTGAAACCCCATCTCTACTAAAAATACAAAAAAATTAGCCAAGCGTGGTGGCGGTTGCCTGTAGTCCCAGCTACTCGGGAGGCTGAGGCAGGAGAATGGCGTGAACCCGGGAGGCGGAGCTTGCAGTGAGCCGAGATCGCGCCACTGCACTCCAGCCTGGGGGACAGAGCGAGACTCCGTCTCAAAAAAAAAAAGAAAAGCTATGAACAATTCAGCCAGTTGATTCTAAGCTGAGACTTTATCCTATAGGAAATGAGGAGTCATCATGTAATTATTTTTTTGAGATAGAGTCTCACTCTGTCACCCAGGCTGGAGTGCAATGGCATAATCTTGGTTCACTGGAAACTCCATCTCCTGGATTCAAGCGATTCTCCTGCCTCAGCCTTCCGAGTAACTGGGATTACAGGCATACACCACCACATCTGGCTAGTTTTTACATTTTTTGTAGAGATGGGGTTTCACCGTGTTGGCCAGGCTGGTCTTCAACTCCTGACTTCAGATGATCCACCCGCCTGGGCCTCCCAAAGTGCTGGGATTACAGGCGTAAGCCACCGCGCCCAGTCCGTCATGTAATTTCTAAAGACGTATGCTTCATAAATCATCTTTTGGTGACAGTGCAAAATATAGACTGGAATAGACAAAACACTGAAGGAAAACCAGTTAAAAGATGGCAGTAACAGACCAGAAAACAAATAATACAGAATATAAAATAAGACATGACATTAAGGACAAATCAGAAAGAGTAAAGAGACATACATGAACCTACAGATCCTAGTGACTACTGGGATCTGGAGGTGGCAGGGAGGAGGGAGAGAGTGCCAGATTTACCCATTCATCAGTAGATAGATGTTGAACACCTTTTTCATTGGGTGCCAAGCACTTCCCTAGGCACTGAAGATAGAGTGATGAACAAGACAAAAATGCTATGCAAAGGTGTCTGTAATTCAAGCAAAGAAACAAGACAATACAAAGAGTAAGCCAATAAATACGCCATTAGAGAGTGGTAAGTGCCCATAATAAGCCCAGCATAGCTGGAGCTTAAGAAGTAAGAGAAGAAGAGTAGGAAATCAGGTAGACACATGGGGGCAGATCACCTATTACCCTATGGGCCCCAGTTAAGAACTTTGGGGTTTTATTCTAAGTACACAGTAGCTACTGGCTAGTTTAGGTAGGGAAGTAACATGATTTGATTTATATTTAGAAAATATCACTGGTTGCTCTGTGGAGAATGAACAAAAAGGGTAAGACCGGAATCACAGACTACTTAGGAAGCTACTGCAGTAGACCAGTGGAAGGGAGCTCAACTATATGTAAGACGTAGGTGCACAAAGAGTAGACAAACTTGAGATTCATTTTAGAGGCAGAGCTGACAACACTGAGTGGTGGACTGGACCTGCAAAGGGAGCGTAAATCAAGGATGGTGTGTCATCCATCATTTTTCTGTCATCTCTAACCCTACCTTCTATACTCTGCTTTGGGATGCTGCACCAAGGACTCTGCACACGACGCATCAGCTTTGCCTGCTGGCCCTGCATGGAAGATTCCATGGCTGCTTCCTCCCTAACTGCTTCCTGTGGGCTTGCTTGTGTTCCTGTGACTGCCACCCCAGCAAGGCTTCTCATCCCTGCAGTAGCACTTCTTTCCTTAAGAGCAACTAAATACAGCTGGCAGTTTTTTCAGCCTTTGGAGAACCAGCTGTATCACAGATGTACCCCACCTCTGGCTCCACCAAGAGACTCCAGCACCAGGGAGCTCAGTTCCACGGGGGCCTCTCCTTTAAGTTTCTAAGTCTTATTTGTTTCAATCTTTTCTTCCTGTTCTCCCAGCCCTACAGGTGGTTGTTGCTTCTTCCAGCTTTTAACTCCATGATATCTTAGTTTTCTTTTTACTTTTTCAGTTATCTATGTTATCTACTTTTTACCTAGTTCACAATTCTTTATAAAAAATCCTCTGTGTTCAAATAACTGTCTCCTGACTGGTATCTAAAATGATAAAGGTAACTGCTACAATTTTGGCTTCAGCAAACAGGTGAGTGAGTGGATGACTTTCTAAGACAGAGAAGACTGAAGGGGAAAATTGCTTGGGAGTAGAGAGGAGAAGGGAGAAAGGAAAGGTGAAGAAAATAAAAAGTTTTTGGTTAGAACGTCGAGTGGAGTTCTGGGGAAAATAGTGACTCCCAGTTGAGAAGAAAAAGAGCAGTTCTTTGGGGGGAATTCAGTTTCGTTCATGCTAACTTAGATACACATTTCTGATAAACAATTAGGAGTATAAATTTAAAGTTTAGAAGTGAGAGAATTAGATATGGGAATAATGCTTTACACTTCGGCAGCAGATCCACAGAGACAACATAAGTCACGGTAATACTTAAGCAAGGGTGATAATCGTAAGTGATCCCACCACCTAGGTTGAAAATAGGGCAAGAGTCACAGATCGGGTAACTTCAGTGGCCACCAGGTAACAACCATGTGGCATTAGCTGGTTAAGAAAGTGGGGTCCTTAATAGAAAGGACTATACATCCTGTTTAAGGCATTTGAATCCATTTAAAATATATAAGTAAATAAAAACGATGCCCATAGTAATTCTGTAGGTAGAGAATGCAGTCTTTGGGCTACAAGCTCACTATCCCTGGAGAAATGTAAGAAAGCGTAAAGACTGAGGTCAGAACCCTAGGGAACACTAATATTTAAAACGAAGACAAAGGAAGATGAGCGAAGGAGGTAATAATGGAAAGGAAGACACTGACAAGCATTACTGTACAGTAACCAAGGGAGTAGCATGTGGCAAGGTGAGAGGTGAATATATAAAATGTTATTGAAGTGGGAAGAGGAATGAAGATGAGACCACGTGATGAAGCCACTGGGGGTGGGTCACCGATGACCTGTTTCAATAGGATGGTGGTGGCAGAAGGATATGATTCAATTAGTTCAGAATGGGTTAAAGGTGACAAATGGAGATGGTAAGCTGAGAAGTCTGATGGTGACAGAAAGAACAGAAAGAGGACAGTCACATTAAAAGGTGCAAAAGATCAGAAGGGTGTTTTAGTTTCTGTTTTTAGGGAGGGGACAAAAGAGACTCAAGGTGAAGGAGTGAGGAACTTGGCAGTACAAGATCTTAAGAAGGCAGGAAAGGATGAAATGGGAGTGGTCACGGTTACCCTTATAAAGCAGTGGTCTTTTCTGCCTTAACAAAAGAAAAAAAAAAACAACAAAGATTACTAATGTTTGAAAGTAGAAAGAGGAGCTGTTCATACCTGATGGCATCTATTTCCTGTGAAGCAGAAAGCATCTGCTAAGTACAAGTTAGGGCCTGAATAGAAAGTTAATGATACGAGACATTTGTTGGAAGGAATGTATAAAGGAGTTGAAATAGGGACAAGTATAAGGACAGCTGAGGATAATGAAAAGCTGAACGGAGTTATGCAATTTTTTTTTTTTTTTTTTTTTGGATAATGTTTAGTAGCCAAGCAGCAGGAATAGGGAAAGCAGAAGTCTAGATGAATCCAGCGTCTCAGGCACAACACCTGAAGCAGACTGGCAGAATGGCCAGGCAGTCCAGGGCAAACATAACAGAAGTCGGGGCAACAGCGCGGTGTCTGGACGGGAAAAAGAGTGATTGCTATGTAGGGACAGGAGGCTGGATAAATAAGCCGGGATTAAAAGAGGGATCCAGCAAATCCTAATGAGTTGAAGCCAGGGAGTCGGATTTTTGAATTTAAGATTTTTTTGCATATAACAATTCTGAGTAACTTACTTTAGGCTATGACTGTAGGATTGGGTGGTGGGGTGAAGAAAAAGGTCACTAAAATATCTCATCAAAGTTTAATGCTGAGGAGTTGCAGGTGGGTGCTAAAAAGACCCCCAGAATGATGACTAAAGATGACAACTTTGAAACAGATGCAAATTCTTCAACAAATGTGAAAGAATACCTAGATGTCATAAATGCCAAAAAGATGTCCACTATTGGCTAATAAACATATGTGTCCATATTTGTCCATAATTGACAAAGGCAATTAAACTATAGACTACAGAGGGGAATGAAACTAAAGATTCTGCTTCTCAGTCCTCCTCATAATGAGGCAAGATAAAATGAGTAATACAGGCTGATCATCCCAAATCCAAAAAAATCCAAAATTTAAAACCCTTTTGGTTCCAAGCATTCTGGATAAGGGATATTCAACGTGTAACTACTTGAGGCTGATTTTAATAGAAGCAGAGATTTCCATCATGCCAAGCTGAGTAAGGACACGGTCTATGACATCAAAAAGCTTTCTAGATAAAACATACATACCAGGTCTGAAATCATGTCCCCACTGACTACAGCAGTGAACTTCATCCACAGCAATTCGAGTGAATCTCCTTGCTTCATAGGCTTTCTCTAGTCTTGACATAAACATTTTGCTTTTTGCAATTTTCTCTGGAGTCACATAAATCAGCTTTAACTCGGAGTTTTTATTTACCATTTCAGCATGAACCCATTTAACATGCTCCTAGTAACAGAAAAAACAGACACAATGATAGTAAAACTAAGCTGGCAGACTGAAATACTAGGTGGTAAATGAAAACGTTCATTTCTCCAAAGCAATAATAGACTTCGGCTCTTCTAGGAGCAGACGTTTGGTTCATTAAAACTGAAACCATGTCCCAGTACTAAACATCATGGCAGCTGTGTAAATAGCATTCTAGTTATTTACTAACATCTACATTGTTGGTGATTAAAAAAAAACTCACTTGACAAAAAAGAACAAAAAAAAAGAACAGGAACAGATAGTCCAATGAAGAGCATTTATTCTATGAAGGGATAATTCTAAATTGTTCATAATATATTCTAAAATGTGAGCTAGATGCAATTGTTATGGTTATAAAGGTAGGTTTTATTAATTTTAACATTATATTTATAATCCCTTTATGTATGTGAACAAAATTTATTATTTATTAACTTCTTCAATGATGCCATCAAATCTTTTAATCTCTTTATTTAAACATGAAGACCATGGGGTTTCAAAAAGTATCACTCATTAAATTAAGATAATAATAAATCTTAAAAGCTAACATTTATTAGCTTCTTAGTACTCTAATACAATTCTATATAATACTTAGCACATTAGATGTCATTTTTTTCCTTCTAACCTAAAGAGGACCAAAAAAGTATAAAAACATGCCAGTGAATGGGATAGAAAGAGACAATCAAACTGCTGTCATCATCCCAGCAAAGCAGTTTGTTAATTCCTAGATATATTCTAGGATACAGATGTTCTTTTTTTCTCTCTCCAACTTTTCAAGCAGTGGGGACATATCATGAACTTGTAATTATCTTCAACTTTCTAAACTACTTTCTATTACTATTATGTTCTTTTCCAATTTTAAGAAAGTACATTATTAGAAAGCAGTTTTCTCCGTAGACTGATTTTGTTGAATGAAGGAGCAGTTATAATAGAATGACATGGAGTTTAAATAAAACAAAAACATATGGGTAAACTAAAGGAAGCAGGGCTTCTTAGAGGTATGGCTGACTCTAGGTCTGCGCAGGAAATGCAAAAAATGAACATGGATTATCTTACTGCAAAAGAAAGCAAGGAGCAGAAGCAATGGGGTTAAGAGAAAAGATTCGGGAACCAACTTAAAGAGGCTCTCACTGCCCAAGGCCAGGACAATTTCAGCATTACATATATACATATTTATATGATTCCAAAGGTGAATCATATTATAGCTCAAAATTTGTAAGTTTATAGTGATACTTGGGGGAAAAAAAATACCTTAAAAATCTTGTTGACCACCTTTGGAGAATGCTAGAAAACCAACTCTTTCTGAAAACTGGTAAAGAAAGGGGGAAAAAATCAAGCATTTTCATTGTGCAGAGTTAATGAGGAAGAAGTTCATTTTTGTAGAAAAAGTGTAGCTAATACGAAGAGTGACTGAATTAGGTATCACCATTTTGCACCTCCCTAATGAAATCATGGCTCTCACGGTGCCACTCAGCGGCTGCTAAAACCATTAGATGAAAAGCTGATAACCAGAGATCAGGCAGACATCACTTGAACCCACTGATGCTTAGCATCACAAAAAGATAACCAGGTACTATGTACCACTTGAGTGATACCACAGTAAGTATACTCTTGCAAAAAACAAACAAACAAAAAAAGTTAAAGAAAAAAGAAAAATTCCAAATACAATCAGGCTTTTAGATCTAACAGGATCCAGTTACCTATGTAACAAACCTGCACATCCTGCACATGTTCCCTAGAACTGAAAAGAAAGAAAGATAGAGAGAGAGAGAGAGAGAGAGAGAGAGAAAAGAAAAGAAAAGAGAAAAGAAAAGAAAGAAAGAAAACACCACAAAGATGCAATCAGGAAAATGTAGAAAGATACGGGACAATTAATGTGGTTTCTTCAACAAAGAATTTGCATGGGAAATACAAAAGAGATAAAGGGAACCTATGGGTATATCGACCAAATACAATAAAATGCATGAATATTATCTGGGTTATATTTAGAAAAAGAAAAAAAGGAGACAGAGAAATCTGAATTTTTCATAATTCTAAAGAATTGATATTAAAGTTTTTAAATGTGATGATGGCACAGCATTTTTCTTTAAAGTTAGAGATACATACTGAGGAATTTACAATTAAAATATGATGCCTGGAATTTGTTCTGAATAAATAAACTAAGGGGAAGGGGGTAGGGAAGACTGGAGGTATATAGATTTTAAAAAAATTAGCCATATGTTGATAACTGTTGAAGGGGGAAATGGCTACATGGCAGTTTTTATGCTATTCTCTCTCCTTTTGAAGATTTCAGTAATATGCTTTTTAAAAAAGAATAGCTGGGACATGCTTTATTCTACAGATGACGGTAAAAGAGTCCATCCCTAAATAGAAGAAATTCCATAGGTACAGGGTAACTTCTTAGTAATTCATATTTCATATTTAATTACACTGCATAATTAGAAATTCTCCCTTACTATTTTAGAATGGATAATACGAAACAGGTCAGCAAACGTTTCCTGTAAAGTACCAGACAAAAATATTAGGTTGTGTGGCTATAAGATCTCTATCACAACTACTCCACTCTGCCATTATACTGTAAAAGCAGCCACAGACAACATGTAAACAAATGAGCATGGCTGTGTTTCAATAAAACTTTATTTATGGATACTGAAACTTGAATTGCAAATAATTTTCACATTTCACAAAATATTCGTTTTAGTTCTTTTTAGCCATTTAAAAATACAAAAACTATTCTTAATTCATGGGACATACAAATATAGACAGTGGGCCAGAACCAGCCAAGAGCAGTAGTTTGCAACTCCTGATATAAACAGTTCACAGTTTATAATTTTATAAGCAACTCAACTGCAGGTAAAGCTCCTACTTCAGTGAATAGTTTATATTTAAAAAAAAAAAAAGCCACTGAAACATACCTTAGAACTTGAAGCATTTAACATGGTTGCTGAAATTCCTAATTGTTTTAAAACCATTAATTGGTCTTCCATAAGAGAGATCAATGGGCAAATGACGAGTGTAAAACCTAAAAGAAAGAAAAAAAAAAATCTACCTTAAACTTTACACCACCCTCAGAATCCGTTGCAAACCATTCACCTTCTTTTTTTTTTTTCTTTTTTTTTTTTAGAGCTGGAATCTCGCTCTGTTGCCCAGGCTAGAGTGCAGTGGTGCGATCTTGGCTCACTGCAACCTCCACCTGCACGGTTCGAGCAATTCTCCTGCCTCAGCCTCCCGAGTAGCTAGGAGTACAAGCACCCACTGCCATGCCTGGCTAATTTCTTTTGTATTTTAGTAGAGACAGGGTTTCACTGTGTTGCCCAGGCTGGTCTCGAACTCCTGAGCTCAGGCAATCTGCCCACCTTGGCCTCTCAAAGTGCTAGGATTACAGGCATGAGCTACCGTGCCCAGCCCATTCACCTTCTTAACTTGTGGGCACCGCCCATCAGTTCAGATTAATTTTTAATGCAGCTTTAGTGAAGCTTACTTACTTCTTACTCTCATTAATTAGATATGAATAAATGACCACACAAGGTAACTATAAGCCAAATAAACAAACATACAACTAAACAGAACTCTATCCTTATAAAAATAAAGACAGATGTTAACATTTCAAATGTTTAATTTGCTATCATTTTAAATAATCACTACTGGTAATTTCAGTAAGGTAACATATATCAGTTCAAACACTAAACAGTTCCATCAGGGAAAAATTACTACAAAGTTTTCCCAAAAAAACAGTAACAGTTTATAATTTTATAAGCAACTCAACTGCAGGTAAAGCTCCTACTTTTTATACGAGATTAATTTATGCTGAGTAGAGCTCAGTGAACAGTTTACTGTCTGAATGAAGTTATAGTAATATGCCCCCTTCCTTATAATTGAAACTGTTTAAAGTACAAAAGCTATTCTACAGCTAAAATTATATGGCTTTACGTTTCTGTAGTTCGTTTCTTACAACCACCTTTGGCAGAGTGCAGACATGTTTAAAAAACATAATCAAATTACGACCTTATTAGGGATTTTGCCCAGTCAATTATTCTCTCTCCTATTATTTTCACTTTTCCTGACTAGCACCTACTCATTGCATTTAAACATGGTCAAGTCTCTCTCATCTTGGAAAACACCCACTATGGTCTGAATGTTGGTATCCCCATGGAAGTGATTAAGTAATGAGGGCTCTGCTTTCATAAGTGGGATTGGATTAATGCCATTTTACAAGAAGTTTAACAGGATGCCTTTTCTTTGCCACCATGTGAGGGTGCAGCAAGAAGGTGCCATCTATGAGAAACACTCCTTCTCTAAACACCAGAATCTATTAGCATCTTGATCTTGGACTTCCCAGCCTCCAGAACTGCAAGCGGTAAACTTCTCGTTTGTTAATTAACTGATATAAAGCATTCTGTTATAGCAGCTGGAGTAGACTTAAGATAACACCTAATTTATGGCCCCCTCTCTTCTTCCCTTCATAGCCATTCTTTTCCAAAGAGCATCCCACACTCACCAGTTCCACTTCCTCAATTCCTACTCACTTCAAACCATTGCTATTTGGTCTCCACCCAGCCATTTCAATAAAATTGCTCCAGCTAAGGTCATAGATGAGTCCTTTGTCATTAAACTCATTGAAACTTAATCCTTATCGTATTTGACATTTTGCTAACAGACATCACTATTAACCACTCCTTCAAACACACCCTTCCCTAGGCTTCTAGTAACACCATGCAATCGTGGTTATCCTACATGTTGCTACTCTTTCTCAGCCTTGTCTGCAAGCCCTCTTTCTGTTTATCCCTAAACTCTTGGTGTTCTGGTTTCTGTTCTAGGCCTTCTTCTCTTCTTATGCTGCTCTGTAATTCATTCCAATGGCTTCAGTGCCATCTCCACACTAACAATCTCCAACTCAGACCTCTAACACCAGGCTTTAGACACAAACATCCTCCTACTCAGGACAATTCCATCTGGATATCTTAAAGGCATCGTAAATTCAGCATGTCCCAAATAAATTCATCATCTTCCTTCTTTCCATTTCCAAGAGTTCTTTCTCCAGTGTACCCCATTTCAGTGAAGAACCTCACCATTTGTCCAAGCCTAAAATTTGAGCATCATTCTTGACTATTCTTTCTCCTTTCCCCACAGGCAATAAATACCAAGTCCCACTGAATCTATCTTCCAGATGTATCTGGAATTCATCTAACTGCTAGAATTATCCTTCTAAACCATGAAATAATGAGTCTCTTACCTGTGTAAAACCCTTCAATGGCTTCCTGCTAAAATAAGGAAAAGTTTTTAAAAATAAGACTCTTTCCACATATCTTACCACTGGCTGCCACATAGGAATTCCTCTAGGTTACTGAATACATCATAATGTGAATGTTCTCTCTTGCTTTTGGATCTCACACATGTTGCTTTTCTGAAACGAACACCCTTCCTTCCCTGTCCCTTCTGCCTACTCACCCTTTAACTTTTAGCTTAAACACCACTCCCTCAGAACAGTTTTCCCTGACAGCCCCTAGACTAGATCTTTGTACAGTCTTAATTCCCTATTAAAACCTGTATCCCAAAATTCTTATTGCAATTGCTTGCAATTACCCGTATTCTCTAAACCAGGGATCAACAAAGTAAGGGCTGGTTGCCTATTTTTGTAAGTTATTTTAATGGAACACAGCTACACCCATGTGTTTACACGTTACCTGTGGCTGCTTTTGTGCTAGAATGGCAGGGCTGAAGAGTTGCCAAGGAGACCATATGGACCACAAGCCTATATTATTTACTACCCTTTCAAGAAAAAGCTTGCTGACCCCTTGCTACTCCCCAATCAGTAATATCAGTAGCAGCAGCGAACTTAGAAATGCAGGGTCATTGGTCTCACATAAAATCAGAATCTGCATGTAATCAAATCCTCAGGTGATTCTTATGTACACTAACGTCTGAGAAAGTGCTACTCTACACTATGAGTTCTGTGAAAACTAAGACCACGCCCATTTTGCTCACTACTGTACCTCCCAGCGCCTAGCACCGTGGCAGACACTCAATGAAGATCTGGGACTAGAATTCAGGTCTACTGATTCTTCTTCTAGAGTTGCTTCTCCTACAACATTTTTGGGGTTTTTTGCCCCTTTTATTTTCTGTTCTAGTGTTCTATAGCACTGTAGGGTGAATATGATTAACAGTAATTTAGTATAGGGTTTTGAAAAGCTTAGAAGAGAGGATTTTGAATGTTCAGTACAATATGCTTTTAAATTTATGTTTCAGGAACCAGATAAAAGGATTAATCTCAGAAGTTCTAAAAATTCCCCCTTTAGGGAGAGAGGAGGGCAAGGGTTGAAAAACTACCTATCAGGTACTGTGTTGACTACTCGGACGACGGATCATTAGAAGTCCAAAGCTCAGCATCACACAATATACTCATGTAACAAACCTGCACATATACGCCGAACCTAAAATAAAAAATAAATAAATTCCCCCTTTGAGCGAAACTTTAAATTTCTATTAATATAGAAGAAATCAAACAAAAATGTACTTGATTTTTACATATGTATGATTAGAAATTATTTTTTAAAAGAATTTAAAATGTATGATGACAAAGCACTTTTTCAATTCTAAATTAATTTGTATTAGTACACACCATCTGAACATAATGCTGGTAACTGGTAACATAAGCTCTTTCCACCTCCTGTAGGCATAACAAGAAATACCTCCTTTCCAGCCATTGTTACGTTAATAGTTTCAAGCTGAAGTGGTCTGAACTTCTGCAGCTTAAAGACATTTTGCAGAACATCTTTAACTTTACCAGACCATGGAAAATCTAGAAAAAGAAAGATAAGAATCAGACAAACATATAAGACTATTATAGAAGTTTGATAAGAATGAGACAAATATATATAAGACCTCTAATACTTACAGACCATTAAACTTTTATGATAATAATTTTGAGATTAACTCACTAGCTAAGCAAAAACAAATTAAACGATGTGTTATAAGACACAGTAGGCGTGGTGGCTCATGCCTATGCTCCCAACAGTTTTGGGAGGCCAAGGCAGGAGGATTACTTGAGCTCAGGAGTTCGAGACCAGTCTGACCTCAAGTGATAGCAAGACTCTGTCCCTATAAAAAAGTTTTTAAAAGTAGCTGGGTGTGGTGCTGTGCACCTGTAGTCCCAGTTACTAGGGAGGCTGAGCAGGGAGGATTGCTTGAGGCTGGGACTTTGAGGCTGCAGTGAGTTGTGGTTGTGCCACTGTACTCCAGCCTGGGGAACAAAGCCAGACCTTATCTCAAAAAAGTCCCTATCTCAAAAAAAAAAAAAAAAAAAAAAAAGTAACGAATGTAAAAATTTGCCAGTTGAGAATTAACCCACACAAGAGAGGAAGGTGTTCGATCAGGTATTTGAAAAATAGTCTCAGTGTTGATTAGAGAATTTACAGCATCATCAAATACTCAAATATCAAGAACAAAGTGAACAATTATCTGGAATTTTTGGTGAAAATATCTTGTTTAGACGTGAATCATTGAAAAGCAACATCCACAAAAACCACAATTCCTTCTAGAGTTATTCTATTATAATTATCCTATTATAGTATTCCATTTATAATTGATAAACATGATGTTGGATAAGATCTTGGATCATGAAAGGTTTGTTCACTAGGGCAGGAAAATGATCTAAACTTTGGCAAGAAGTTTGAATTTTTTTTTCTTGTTTGTTAATGCAGGTAAAGTAAGTATCTCATTTTCTAAGCATGATCAATGTTGCTAGAACAATAATTGGAAAAAAAATGTCTGAATAATAAAAGCTTAATTTAAAGACTATAGAACACAGGGAAAGAATGATCCACCTGCAAGTTTCTCATTCCACTGGAGAAATGGCCACTTTCACCTCTAAGCCTACTGGAAAGCACTGACCCAGCAAGAATTCATTCTAGCTTTTTAAAAAATGAGAAGAAACAAAACTAGCAAAAAGAAACGTTAACCTTCTTTATTCCAAGCGGCAGGTGAAGAATCATGTTCGTTGCTTGCCCCGGCATCAGAATCCTCCAAACACTGCTTTATTTTCTTTGTTAGGACTTTTTTTTTCTGAATAAGCTCTTGTTGCCTTTCCGTTAGTTCTTGAATTTGAATTTCTACTGCATGTAGCTCGCTGGTTATAGAATCCAGTTCCTCAGTCAGAGCTATGGGAGGCAGCGGGGATACAATGATTAGACAGAGTAAATTACAACTTTAGGTTTCCAGACTGATTTGTGGGTGTTCCCCGCCATATCAATTACAGATGAACTTGAAGTAGCATAGCAGAATGGTTAAGAGCATGTTTTTGAGTCATACAGACCTGAGTTAAATCTCAGGTCCTCCTTTTACCCGCTGAGTGACCTCAGGCAAGATGCCTACCTGTATCCCCATTTCCCCTCCTGTAAAATGAGGATAATATCTAACTTTCATCGTCTTTTTATAAAGAGCTAGTGAGATAATATATTAAGAGTTCTAGACACAGTACCTGGTACACAGTCAAATATTTAATACATGATAATTTTTTTATTATGTTGGAGAGAAGTGGTCTAACAATCTCCTAAGTCATTTAACTAAAACAGACTTTGAAGCAAAAGGAAGCTAATGCCCTAATTACTTTGCTAGTACTTTATTGAAGGCATTCCTATTTGGGCTCATTTGATGGTTGATAAGGAGTTGGTAATTATAAACAAGAGGATGTAGTAAGTAAGAGAAATCAAGTGTAGTATTCGAATTGGCATTTTATCTCCTTTGTAACTAATTTATAAAGAAACCTCAGTGTATGATTCTAATCAAAGTATTAAAGTCAAAAAGTGAGATGTTTTTTGATACCACATCAATGGAAGCTAGAAAAATCTTAGACGTTCTTGGTGTGTTCTCATATACCTGCCTGCATTAATCAGTATACAGGTTTAATGTGTCCCTTTATGAGATAAAATTTATGGTTGTGACTTAAAATAGGATGTCAGGGTGCCTTTTCATTGTACCAATTGCACAATGAAATTGGTACATTTCATTTTATCAACTTCATCAATGTTGTACATTGATGTACATGTTGTACATCATCCCTTGTATCAACCCTTCCCTACATGACTTTGGGTTAAGTTTGGCCACAGGTGAACTCTGCATGAGATTTAGAAGGCAGAAATAAAGCAGCAGCCAGTTTTACATTGGGATGGTTGGCCTAAGGCCAGGTGCTTCTGCAACTCACTCATGATATTAGCAATCTGCTACCTCACTTTGTTGATGTGGGGCAGAAGCCAGCTCCCCCAGCTCCTGCTAAATCTTCTCGGTGGAGCAACTTGGCCCACAGCTTCTTTGGCTTCTTGGTCATGTTGCTGAGCAACCCTCTGTGACAAGAACACTAGCTTTTCAGCAGGACACCAGCATCCTAACTTTGTCCTCATGAGTTTCAACCTATCCTTGCAGCTTCCAGCTCATCCATACCCTCCCACACTTCACACCCATCTTCCTTTCTCACTGCTGGTACTGCTGACTTCAGGACCAGAAGCTGACTCAGGGATAGCCGCTTAACCAGCTCCCATGATCACATAAGGTTTAATCCCCATAAGAAAACTTACAGCACTCATAATGGTTCAGCATACCTGATTGAACCCTAACCAATACAGAATTTTGATCCACAAGAACAGAAACTTAATAGGTTCTCTGAATTGCTTCTGGGCCACATAGAATTGGTTTTCTGATCTGATTAGATTTCAAGGCATTAATAACCCTGTTTCCACTGATAAGGGGAACATAACTGTTCTATGTCACCACGCAGTGAAAAAAGTTATTTAAATCATCATCCATAGACACCAGTAGATAAATACTAGAGAAGGCAAGGCTGTGGGTGACAAAGTGTTTGCTGTTACAGACGTTTTGGTGAGAATACTGGGGTTGACTGGTTGCTTCTAAGTGTGCAAAGAACTCAGGGGAAAAATGTAGGATCTGCATTAAGGGACCTCAAAGTTTCTATGACTGTCCTTAAAAAAACCTTATCCCCTATAGGTACAGGGCCAATATTTTGGAAAAAGAGCTGTAAGTCTAAATCCTGCAGATGGCTGAATTTCAGTACAAACTGAATTATCAACCTTGCAGGGACTCTTACTATAAAGTCAGCACACTGACTGGGAAGGAGGCTCTGAAATTTGGAGGGGAACATAAGGGCAGACTCCAATGAAGCAGGTTACCTTAAACCACTAAATTATGCCAAGTCTCTTCTAACCTGCCTCCCCTTTCTGAAACAATGTCCTCCTAACTGAAGTCCCCACAATGGTCCTCATTGCCTTGTATGGGGCTGCTAATCCTCCTCAGAATCAGCCTCTACCACCTTCCAGTGCTTTAAGATCCAGGAAGTCCTAGAGGATAAAACACAAAGATGTAACCGGTCGAAAGACATGATATGCACCAAAAGAGCTGCATGTGCCAAAATATATCAAGAGAAACCGTGTTCATCCATTTTACATTGATATAAAGGCATATCCGAGGCTGGGTAATTTATAAAAGAAAATAAGTTTAATTTGCTTATGGTTCTGTAGGCTATACAAGGAGCATAGTACTGGCATCTGCTTCTTGTGAGGACCTCAGGAAGCTTCCAATCATGACAGAAGACAAAGGGGGGTAGGTATGTCACACAGTGGGAGATGGAACAAGAGAGAGAGGAGGCAGTGCTAGCCTCCTTTAAACAACCAGCTCTCGTGTGAACTAACAGAGCAAGAACTCACTCATTACCATGGGGAGGGCACCAAGTCATTCATGAGGGATCCTGCTCCATGACCCAAACACCTCCCACTAGGCCCACCTCCAACACTGGAGGTCACATTTCAACATGAGATTAGGAGGAGACACATATCCAAACTACATCAGAAACCTAGAGAATGTATATGGGAATAGATCATAAAGTACTGAAACAGGGTTTATGGAATACAATGTTGAATTAAGCTAAGCTTATTGATATGGGCTCACTAAGAAATTCTGGACTTAATGTTCTACATAGTGGCCAGGAGTGGCTGTAGTAATTTGCTTGGCTCATTGCCTGAAACCTGGCCTCAAAGATGAATGTCAGAAAACTGGGATGGAATAAAATAGGTGTAGCGTCCAGTGAGGCTGGACTTCTGGAATTTCCTGGGTATGCTCTAAAGGACGGTATCCAGAGGCTTAGAGAGAGAGCAGTGCCCGAGTGGATGATCAAATGGATTGATCATCCACTCCCTTGCTGTCCCCCAGGAGAATCCAGAGTCTCCTTTCACCAAGACGGTGAAAAATACAGTCATGAGGGGAGCCCCAGCATCAGCGGAGCTCTTCAGGGATGCTGGGGCTCCCCTGGCTGTTCTCTGTAAGCTAGGAATGACAGTGGGAAATACCATCTTCCAAGTAGACTACCTGATTCAACGACAATGATGGATTCCAAGGTATGGGGGCTGAACAGCGGCAATTGAATTTATGACCAAAAATAAAGTGGATGTGGTTGCCATGAAGGGCAACAGAGCTGAGGCAGCAATCAGAATAGTCTGACCCACACGATCTTGGATTGGCTAGTTGACTGCGATGTCCCTGAAATGGAAATAGATTACTTGATTTGTATACGCAGAATAAAAAGCTCTGATTCTGGTAAACAGAACCAGAAACACCACAACACAGCGACCATCCTTCGACCAATTTCCAGAACTGAACCAACTTATAGAACCAGAGGCCCTTGAATAAGGCAGAGGTTGGAGCCCCTTGGGGAAGGACTCTACCACACAACTAAAAATATATGTAATGAATCTTCCTACTAGTCTTCACTAGAGACGTTTATTAGGGTAACTGTGCATTAGAAAAAGAGAAATCACTTCTCAGAAACTACTGGACATTAGCTGTGAACTGATGCTAATTCTTAGCAAACCAAAATGCCATGGTGATCCACCAGTCAGAGTAAAAACTCGACTTCAGTGAGGCAATCAATGCAGTTTTGGTTGCCAGAGATTTAAAAGGTAGAAATAAAGCAATAGCCATATTTTCATATTTTCTGTATTTAAGAAAGTCAGTGTAAGGGCAGGCTGGTGATCTCATTGGCATGGGGGAGGAGCAGGCTCAAGTCCAGTGGCTGCTAGTGATATACAACAGACCTTCTAATCTGCTATGTGATTATTTCCTCTGTTCCAGAATGTATACCGAGAACAGATATATTCAGCAAGTGGCAGAATCCACACATTGGTCTCTTGGCCCATAATTAAGGATTATCATGATAGGAAAGGTCAAGCGGAAGCCAGCAAAACTGCCTTTACCAACCAATACAGCAAACCAAAAATATTACTGCCTACATCAAGGGCTTGAAAGATGTAAGGATAATGACAACTGCCACACTGCATTCAGCTCACCTATGTGGTGTATGCAGAAGCCAGTGGATTCTGGAGATTGAGAGTGAGTTATGGCAAAATTAATAAGGCTGCAGCTCCAACAGGAGCCACTGTTCCAGCTGTAATTTCATTAATGAGACCGAACACATACCCTGGCATCTGGCTTCAGCTATTGATCTGTTGAATGCTTTATTCTCCATACCCATGTACCTGTTATTATAGCAGAGGGAAACAGTATAGCACAGTAAAAGCAGTTTGCTGAGCCAGCAATGTATCTTTACTCTCCCACCTCAGAGCTGTATCTACTCTCTAGCCCTAATCTAGTCTGCAGGGATCCTGCTTGCCTTTTGATTCCACTAGACATTACACTCGCTCTCTGCATTGATGATATCACGCTTGCCTGACCTGCTGAGCAAGAAGCAGCAGTAGCAGCTACTACAGACAAATTGCTAAGAGAGACTCTTGCCAGAGGATATAAGATAAATCCCATAAAAATTCAGAAGCCTGAATTTTTCTCACCTTGGTGAGAGTCAAAGGGTATGGGGCATGTTGAGCGATCCAACCTCTTCTAAAGTGAAGAATAAGTTTCGACATCTGGCCCCTCCTATTACTAAGAGAGCAGCACACAGCCTAATGGACTACTTGGATTTGGGAGGCAACACACACCTAATTTACCAAGTAACCCCAAAACTTGCCTGTTTTGAGTAGGACCTCGAACAAGAGGTAATGTCATGAGCCATATGACCCAACAGATTTGATGGTGCTGTAAGTCTGTGATGAATGGGGATGTTATATGACACCTTTGGCCTATAGATGAGTCACAACAAAGATGATTAGGATTTTGGAGCAAAGCTTAGAGAACTCTTACCCTTTTGGAAACAATTTCTGGGTTGCTCCCGGGTCTTACAAGAGACTAAGTGACTATGTGACCCGTGTTGCCTATCATCAACCAGGTGTCATCTGACTGATCAATTCATAAGGCAGACCTCCAACATCACAATGGAGCTGGTATATGCCAAAGGGAGCAGGTTCTAAGCGAAGGCATGAACAAGAAGTCCGAATGCTCACGCACCATGCTCCCCTTTGCCTCTTCCTCCTCAACCTGCACCTATGACCTCATGGCGGGATCCCCTGTAACTAAGGAAGAAACAAAATGCAGGCCTAATTTATAAAAGACTCTGCATGATATATTGTCACCACCTGAAAGTGAACAACTAAAGCACTCTAGCGTCTCTCCAGAGAGGCCCTGAAAAACACTGGAGATGGGAAATCCTCCCCGTCAGCAGTAAGCAATGCACATAGTCACTCACTTTGCCAGAGGAATACATCCACAGTACCATAGGCAATGGTTAATGATTAGCAGGATGGTTAGCAACCTGGAAGGTAGCAAATAGGAAAACTGGTGGCAATGAGGTCTGAGAAAGAGATGTATGTATAGACCTCTCTGAACGGTCAGTGTGAAGGTATTTGAGTCCCATGTTAATGCTCACTGAAAACAACCTCCACAAAGGATAAGCATAATTAATCAGGTAGACCAGATGACCTGGACATGGACCACACCTGTCCTTGCACAACCAAATCAAGAACAAAGTGCCTTCTGCAACATGGACTGTCACTCACGAAGACCCATCTGGCTACATCCACAGCTCAGTGCCCAACCTGCAAACAGCCCATACCAACCTTGAGTTCCAATGGAGGCGCCATTCTCTGTGGGGACAGTCAGATGCTTGATGGCAAAGTGACTGCATTGGAACCGTCTATAATGAAAGGCAGCACTTTGTTCTCACTGATACAGATGCTTACTCTGGATATGAGTTTACCATCCCCACCTGCAGTGCTCTATCATGTCCACCATCCATGAATTCAGGGAATTCCTACTGACTGTCATCGTATTCCCCACCAAATTACTTCTGACCAAAGAACTCATTTATAGCAAACGAAGCACAATGGAAGGCTCATGTTTAAGAAATTAACTGGTCTAACTATGTTCTCCAACACCCTGAAGCAGCTGGCCTGAGGAAATAATGGAGTGGCATTTTGCAGACTCAATTATGCTGCCGGCTGGTTATCAGCACTTTAAAGGCTGGACTAGTAGCCTCCAGGATATGGCATGCTATACATGAGTGAATAGTGCTGTTTCTCCCATTACCACAATTCACGGGAATCAGGGGTGGAAATGGGAGTGGAGCCTTACCCTTAGTGATTCACTAGTGAAATTTTTGCTTCCCATCCTTGAAACATCGGACTCTTGCTGGCCTAGAGGTCTTAGTTACCAAGACAGAAATGCTTGTACCAGGGGGAAAAACAGTAGTTCCATTAAACTGGAAGTTGACTGCCACTTGGCCACTTTGGGTTCCTCATGCCAACAAATGAACAGGCAAAGAAGGGGATTACTGTACTGGCTGGGGTAAGTGATCCTGACTACTAAGAGTAAATCAGACAGCTGCCACACTATAGGGATAAGGAGGAGTATGTCTGGAAAGCAGAAGATCCTCTAAGGCACCTCTCAGTATTCCCTTATCTTGTGATTAAAATTAATTGAAAACTATAATAACCAAATACAGGAAACTACTAAGGCAAGTAGTCCCCACCAAGCAAAGACCCGTTACCAACTGAGAACCAAGGAATATGGAATGGGGAGTTGAAGAAGGCAGTTGTAAAGTACAAGCTATGACCACAGGACCAATTGAAAAACAAGAACTCTAATAGCTGTAAGCCATTCTTCCTTTTTAACATTTGTATATAAACCAAGTTGGGATTTTTCCGTTTATTTGGTCCTTCTCCGATACATTACAGTATTACTAAGGAGGACATGATTCAGCAAGAAAAGAAATAAGCATCACCCAAAGACGAATAAATATAATTTGTACCTGCTCTTTTGGGGAAGGAGTCAGTGTATACTCAGCTATAACAGAAATAGGCAAAAGAATGATTCTGCTATTGCCTTTATTTGGATACAAATAAGGTAAAAATTAGACACAAAAGGACAAATGTTGTATGATTCCATTTATATGAGGTATCTAAAATAGTCAAGAAACAGAAAGTAGAATAGTGGCTATCAGGGATTAGGAGAAGAGAAGTAATGGAAAGTTATGAATTAATGAGTATAGAATTTTAGTTTGCATAGATGAAAATGCTCTGGAGATGGATAGTGTTGATGGTTGCCCAACAATCTAAATGCATTTAATGCCAATGAATTATTCACTTAATAATAGTTAACATGGCAAAGTTTGTAATGTCTATTTTCCCTAAATAAAAAAGCTGAAAAAAATCATTTCTATAATCAGAATTTTTAAAACAAACATTTTTTTTTCAAATACCATACAAATAGAAATAGAACAGAAGAAACAAGAAAATGTAATCATTGCTACTAACCTGAAACGGACGCCATTCTTTTTCTTTCCAAATTTGTTTCTAAAATAATCCAAATTTCTTTCTAAAAATAAAAGCACAACAGTGACAACAAGTTTTTAAAAATAGTACTATTAATGATGTTCACTCAACAGTAATCTGTCATTCCTAAGCATAGAAAATGTTAGAAAGTAAATTATATACTGCAGTGACCTTTCAAATAAGAACCACATGGTTCTTTCAACACTAATTTTTTAAGGAAAACTCTCTATATTTCAGCTTAATAACTCACAACACTCAGAACAACTAACTCCCTAGATTTAAGAGACGTGTCCAAAGTCACATAAACGCATACATGACAAATACAGTAGCAATAACACTTAGCAAACATCCACCAGATACAAAGTGATGTAACAAAAAACAGCAAATATTCAACAGTTCTAGCACCCATGGCTATGTGACTAAATTACTATGTTACACAAAGTTACACATGCTGTTCCTCTAAGCCTCTTTCCCTACTTGTAAAACTGGGAGGACTGCAATCTTATAAATAAATTGGATAGATTCAAGTGTACCAGATTAAGCAAAATACATCAACATAAATAATAAATTAATCATCTAACATTTTATTGAGCACTTGCTTTAAAGAATTACAATATAAGCTCAATCTTAAAAGAGAAATTGGTATTCTATAGAAAAGCTAGATTTTAAAAGGAGAGAACACAACAAGGTTAGAGGTGGGGGGAGGGGAAAATGGTTTGTATTAATGAACTCTAAATATCTATGAATGACTAAAACCTAAGCATGCATATGGACAAGTGGAAAATGGGGCTTGAGAGTAGAAACTTTAAATGCCCCATAATCCTAAAAACACCTCTTCTATCTCTCTAATATGGACACTTTCTAAAACTAAGATGCTCTCCAAAAGTCACTTCTGCAACACCTATCCTTAGACTGCTGACCTTTCGCCCTTTCTACACAGAATTCTGAAGCCACCACTAGGCTGGAAAGATAGGCTGACTCTTTTTTGCCCTGCTAAAGAATGTGGAAATAACCACACCGTTAAAAGAAGGCTAAATAGGAGAGTAAACCAAGGACTTCTAATTCTTTATACAAACATCTCTTCACGTAATGGAAATGTAACATTCCTTCCATAGACTGTAAGGTCCTTTAGCAGGGCTGGGGTTCAATCTCTTCACCTTTGTATCCGCACAGCCCAGCAAAATGCCTTGATATAGTGAGGGCTCAGGTTTGCTAAGGCGGCAGGAGCTGTTTCTACCCTTACGAAAAGACACAGTCTATATATCCAATTTCCCCCCACGATTTTAAATGACTCCTTTGATTATGCCGTTAAAAGACTGCTCCTTCCCAAAATAATGTGATTTGTTAGCAGAAGATATCTCAACATAAAATGTATCCAGAAATTGAACTACAGCGGGTTTGTCACTCAGAAGTATAAGCTAGGCATCCACAAGAAAAATGTTACAGGGTGACAGCCAGTCATCAATGTTGGAGGAAACGCCACTGAGGTACCACAGGCTAAATCCTCTCTCTCCCCGCCACCTGCATTTAGAGGCAATAGTAATTGAATATTAGTAACGCCCTTCCTTCCGCTGCTGTGAAGCAGGGGATGGAAGAAGCATCCCCAGTAGTATTTACCAACAAATGGCAGCTGCTAATAAACAGGCTTCGGTGGCCAAGGCTCCTGCATGGAAAAGACTGGGGAGATCAAAAGACCGGTCAGCAGGCGAACGTGCCCCTAAAGGCCCGAGTTCTCGGAGCAGAGCAGTGATTAACGTTCCGGTTTCTCCTCCGCCAATGTGTGGGCGAAAGGAAGTGACCCGCTGCAGACCGGCCTCGCCCTCCAGCAGGAAAGGAAAGGATGAAAAAAGAAACTCACACCCTTGACCCTTCAAAGCTGTAACAGTACTTATCCCAGAGCCTCTCCCCACTGAGGAGCCCAGTCTGACTCTCCGGTGTCTGACTCTCCAGTGTCCGACTCTCCTGTGTCCGACTCTCCGATCTCCGACTCTCGGATCTCCGACTTCAAAGCACCCAGGCCTCGAGCCGATCTTTCTTCCGCTCCGGAGTAAAATCTTCCCGCCACCCAGCTGAGAGCATCCACCCTTCCGGGTCGGTTCGTTCAGCCAATCACAAATAACACCCTTCTCTAATTGGTCAAGGGGTGTGGTCACCATGAGCGTCACCGAACAACATTACGATTTATTGGTTGAGATTGGAAGCAGGTTTCGCCAATAGGAAGCGGTCTTAAAGCGGCAGTGAGGGTAGCTGCGTGTTTCCGGAAGACGTGGCGGCTCTCCCCTGGGCTGTTTCCCGGCTTCATTTCTCCCGACCCAGCTTCCCACCCTGGGCTTTCCGAGGTGCTCTCGCCGCTGTCCCCAACACTGCAGCCATGATCTCCTTAACGGACACGCAGAGTAAGCACCTGCTCCAGGGTCCCCGCCTCGAGCCGTGCACACCCATCACCTGGCTGGGTCTTGCCCCTCCGCAGGGTCAATGAATGAAGCTCCGGGTTGGGGGCGGCGGCCTACGAGACAGAGCTAGGGCTGCTGGGACCCTAAGGGGCTGCCTTGGGGATGCTGGGGCTAGACTTGCAGTGGCGGACCTGACCTGGGAGAAGAGTCTGTGGGGCAGGGTGGGACGCCGTAGCTGGGGAGGGGAGCTTTAGCCGAGTCTGTCTCATTCCAGGGTCGCGATGATCTCCTCATCCCCAGTGAGATAGGCGCTTTGTTCTGGGGGCTCGCCACAAGAGAAAGTTCGCGTGGTGCCCACGGCCCACTCTCGGGATCGTTTATGCGCATGACACACTTCGGGTCCTCTACAAGTCCCTGGCTGGCTGGTTATTTGGGAGGCGGTATTTTAAATGTCACCTACAGTAGGCTCTTTTTGAAAATGTGCTTACGCTTAAATGTGGCATTTTGAATATTCGCTTTTTGCCAGTACTGTAAGCAACCTTTTAGAAATCTCTTGAAACATTCTCACTTTTCTACCTGCTAAAGTTTCAAGCAGTAGAGAAAAGCCACTTTGTGTTCCATTAAAGGATGTATTTCGTTGGTATTGTATATTGTGCTTTGTGGCTTGTTTTGTTATTTTAGCATCACTCTCTGCCTGCCACAGTTCTCCAGGCCTATTTCATCTCTAAAGCTAGCATTGATATCGGTTTCCTTTTCTTTCATTATAATATTTCCACTTTCCTGCTGCTTTTTGTTAATATTAATAATTTTTGTATTTATGCCTGCCCAAGCACTATGCCTCATCTTTTGATGGTCGTAAGAGTCCCTTTTTGTCTCACTTTGCTTTATCTGCCACGCCTTTCGTTTCATTCCAGTTAACTGAGATTTTCAAGATTTTAAGACTTAAACAGTGTATTGAAGTAAAAAATAGAAGTTTATTTAAAATGCCCTATTTTAAAGTGGAGTCTTCATGTGTAGATTCAAGTCATGGCAGACCAACTTCACAGAGCTTCTAAGGCCTCCTACACACACTGCCACCCCCCAATCAGGCCTCCTGAGGCTGAACTGCGGCTGCTCCTTGGGGCCACCTGCCCCAACGTTGCCGCCCACTTTGGTCCATTGACCTGGCCTATTCTGATCAAAGAAAATAAAAATGTAGTCTTAAGCGGGTAGGAATCTGGTGTAATAATAATTACTGGCAATTACATAAAGGTATTTTGTTTCAGTTTACCATGTGCTTTCATGTGAATCATTATGCATAATTCTTACAAGACCCCTGTAAGGCAAACAGAAGCGTGCCCCTTTCATAAGTTAAATGAAGCACAAAAGAAATTCAGTGCATGGTCATAAAAGAAGTGACAGAAACAAAACTTGATCCCAGGCGTGCTGGCTCAGAAACCTTTTGCACTCTACCCCACTATCACCTAAGAAGACTTGATATAAACTTTATTTGAGATCTGAGAATAACCTGTGCATAGAAATTAGATTTTTGAAGACTTAATGTAGTAATGAGTGCCTGCTTTACATCCTTGCAAAAACAAGAGGGTGGATTTGGACCGTGGGCATTCTCCCTGAGAAGCATTCTCCTCACTTCATTAAATTTTGTGAGAGCAATGAAACTTTTCTCTTTGCTGTTCACTTGTCACATGTTTTAGGTGAAACAGCGGATTGGAACATAAAACGATTAGTGAACCAAATGCATTTTGGATTTCAAATTGTGTTTGTGTGTGAGTGTGTTTAACTGCAGGGATTGGCCATCATTCAAGTGATTTGTCAGGATTATTCTGGGATTTTGGTTTTTAGAGAGAGTGACCCAGCACCGATCAGAGTAGAATAAATGGAAATTCATGATTATTTTAAGGGATTCTAGGACTTTCCTCATCGCCTTCCCACCCGGCCCCCAAAAAAGGCAAGACTTATTCAGAGGGACGGAGGAGGGGCATGCTGCCTCTGAATCTTCATTTCATCACGTTGTCTAAAAGTCTAGTGTGATAATTGCGTTCTCCAGTACAGTTAATGTTCAATTGAATTCTTTCTTGACTTCTGTTTTTCAAAGGGCATAGTAAGAAAGACAATGCTGCTTTTAAAAAATTGTGAATAAGGTATCAAAATGCTAACAGTGTTTGCCATTAGGTAATACATGTCTTTCCTTAAAAAATTTCCGCAGTATGCTCCTTATGTTAGATAGATTCGTTTTATTAAATTGTTTTTATATTTTTTTAAACTTGTGGGTAGTTTTTTAAACGTGGGAGGAGTGAAGGAAGATAAGTTTTACTGGATATGATTCTGATGGGAAGAAGGCAGCTCTGTGCAGGGCTTTTGATAGCCAGAGGGCTTATGAATGCATAAGGATAGGGAAAAGTGGGATCCTGGAGGTGAGAAAAAGGCATGAGGCCAATTTGAGACTTTTGACCGGTGTGGATCAGGAGCTACTTGGCAATGTTATTGCTAGTGCCAGTTGTGGCAAAGATGTTTTGGGCAATGTCTCCTGCTGGACTGTACTGGATAAAGTAGTGGAATATTTTGGTTCCCATGTTGTAGTTGTAGGACCATTGTCTGTGGAGTGAGAAGACTGGTTGAATACTGACTCCACAGACTGTTGTACCTGCCTCCATACCACCAGCACCCACACACACATTTTTCCTGCTTCTGTGATCAAGAACAAGTTAACTTAATACCTCTAGGTCCACGGTTGCACATATGAACCATAGGACTAGTGCTACTTTTAACCTCACAATTTTGTTAAAGAAATTATAAAATTTTTGTATAAACACTTCATGACATGGTAAACCATACTCAGAGATTGTCCTTTTTCACTGCAGTTAATTTTTAATAGTTCTACTTGGCTATGTTAGATAACAAGCTAATATTAAACTTGAATCCCCTAAAAGACGCGCCCTCCAGACGTTCAGTATACTCCAGTGTCCTTGAGTTTCATGTAACCAAACACCTTTAACCTAAAAACTAAACATTCTGTGGGAAGAACTATGGCATTAATGGTTAAGCACATGAGCTTTGGATTCAGAAGACCTTGGTTCAAATGCTTCATTAGAAGCGTAGCTTTGGGCAAGTTAAGTCAACTCTCTAAACTTCATTTTCCTCCATCTTTGAAAAGATGTAATTATACCTGCATTCCAGTAGCACTGGAAGTATTAAGTTGTATAAGGTATGCGAAGCACTTCATAAGGCCTAATTCACGGTAAATTCTCAGTACACAGTAGGTGTCTTTCCATATACTTTCCTTTCTAAAAACATCTCACAATGTTTATGTAATCATCAAGGTTATTTGTGAAAAGATAGAAATTAGTCATATTCAACCAACAAAGCTGCTGATGTTTAATCCTAACTACTAAATAGTTACTTAATAGAATTTTACTCGCTCTTTTGTCCATATTTTCCCCTATGAAATTACGTCCACTATCCAAACAGCTAATTTGGTAAATTCTCTTAAGGCATTTGATCATGAAAGTATCAGCCTCAAATTTTCATAGGAATGTGTGTTGAATACGCTTTACTGGTGTATTTATAGACCAGGTACCTGAATTATTTTAGACTAACTTTGGGAACAAAAGCTGTCTGGAATGGAAGACACTAGTTATTAGGAAATTGAGCAGGTGGGGAATGTAGAAAAAGCTAAAATTAATGCAAGTTTTCAAATTATCAGAACACTTTATATGACTTAAGATTTTTTAAAGTAGCTGTGACCTAGATTTTAGCTTTCTGGAGCTGAGGCAAAAAGTTAAGCAGTAGATCAGAAATCAGTGATAGGGTATTTTAAATTGTGCTTCTAAAAATACAGTGGCTTCTACTCTGACTCATTTGTATGCAGATTGTGCTTCTAGCTAAACTATGGATTAGTGACTATTTTCTAAAATCAAAACTAAAATGATCAAGGAGGTAACTTAGTGAATTGCGCTTTATAACATTAATAGAAGAGTACATCTGTCACCTTAGACATTGAGACTTTTCATATTAAAAACATAAGACCTAGGGAATGCACAGTCAATAAAAGTATTAATTTTATATGCAAGATAAACATAGACTTTAAAGTTTGCATCTCGTCTACCACTATATATTCAGTACCTGGAACAGTTCCTTGCATCTGGCAATTGATCAACATTTCTTTGTTTTTTAATGAAACACTAAAAACCTAAAATATTAATATTAGGTAAAACAGGATTCTTTGAAACTTTGGAGAGGTGATTTTAGGACTGTAGACCAAATATGTAAGTGGATTTGTAGTTTGGGTAAATGTGTAGATAAGTCCATAATAAGTAATCAAGAAATTAAAAGTGATGCCTGACCTTGTGAAAATATGATTTTGAGAAGACTGCTACCGTGATTTTCAAAATATTTCTTGTTGCCATTGTGACAAGCAGTGTATAATTGACTAAAGGATATTGTGCTGACCTACCGTAACATTTCTAATGGAGTAAAGAAGAAATTAATTTTAAGGAGAGTAAGAAGGAACTGTAGATATTGTGCATATAAATAATAATTATAGAATGTGAAAGGAGATAAGTAATTAAAGGAAACCTATACATTTATGTCTGATGTGAGAGAGCTTCTTAGGAGGAAAAAAACAAATTATATATATACAAAACCAAAGGTTTAGAATCCTGATTTATCTTTTTTTATTAGAGCTATGT